CGTGTGGGATTTTACAGAACATCTTAAACCTTAGTCTGACTCAGGAGACAGTTCAAGTGATGTGGAAGACCTCCTGCCTTGTTCTAGTACCAAAGAAGGCCAACAGTCTTCAGTGACTATATAACTGTTGCCCTGACAACCCACGGTAGTCCACATCATGAAGGTCTTAAAGAGACTTCTGTTGTTTCACCAAAGCAAACAAACATTCAGAAATCAGGACCACCTGCAGTTTGCGTATTGCCTTGGAGTTGGAGTTGATGACAAGGCAGACAGCACAATGAGGATCATGTTCTCTGATTTCTCCAGTGAGTTTAATATATTTCAGCTTGACTTTGTGAGAAACTTCAGAAGACTCAGGTAGAGGCATCAACAATCTCCTGGATCAAAGACTACATTACAAAGGGACCACATTTTGTTAGACTGAAGGGTCAGCTGTCTAATCTAGTAGTCAGGAGCACCACAGGGGACAGTACTCTCACCATTCCTTTTTACTCTGTACATGTCTGATTTCCAGTACCAAACAGAGTCCTGTTATCTGCAGAAATACTCAGATGACTCTGAAGCCATTGGGTGCATCAAAGATGTGAACAAAACAAGGGAGATGATTGTAGAGTTCAGAAGAAACAGGAACAAGTTCAATCCTACTAACATCATGGGAGAAGAAGTGGACAGGGGGAAGGAGTATGGATACCTTGGTGTTCACCTTGACAGAGCAGATTGTTCTTCCAAAGGAAGCTTAGGTCCTTCAGCGTTAGCAGCAAGAGGCTACATCTCTTCTTTAAGTGTGTTGTGGTTGTGTGATCTCTTCCTCCATCTGCTAAATGTCTTACAAAAAAGCTTGACAAGCTAATAAATAAGGACAGCTTCGTTCAAGGAACTCCTCTAGAACATCTTGACATTCTTTTACAAAGGAGAATACTTCATAAAGTGAAGAACTTTATGGAAAACAGTGGGAGCATTCTCTTCAGAAGATTTTTAAACATGAGTGTCTTCGGTCAGAGGTTCTCCAGATCAGATGTAAGACAGACGGCTACAGAAGGTCCTTCCTGCCTACAGCTATCAACACCTACAACACCTTTTAAAAAAATAACTTATGAGTTACTGCAACATGTAATTTCCCTTTAGGATTAATAAAGTATTATAACATTTTATTGAATTTGAAAATATATGTTAGGATTTGGTTAAGGATTGTTGAGCCAAGGAGAGGCAGGCAGGCAGAGGTAAATTTATGGTTGATTTAATGATGAATTACTGAAAAAGGTCCAAACAAACAGGCAACCAAAAATCCAAAAATGAAAACAAAGTTCAAAAAACAAAAAAGAAAACTCAAGTCAAACGTTACCAAAAAACCATGGAGTCAACAGGGGAAGAACTGTAGCCAGGAGGAAGGCTCAGAGAGACGACAGACAAGGTAGGCGAGGAGCAAAGAGGAACTGAAGAGAGAGGGCTTTTAAAGGAGACAGAGACAAAGAGAGGGCTAATGAGAAGATCGGGAACAGGTGAGGAGAGAGCAGAAACAAAACAGGAGCTAGGGAGAAAGGAGAACACAAGAGGGCAGCAGAGGGCAACAAATGAAAAAACCTGGAAGACTGAAAATAACTAGAATACACAACAAAATAATAATTAAACCACTAGGACTATAAAACATGGAAAAAAGAAGAACTAAAGACTCAAAAGAAAACATAACAGAACCAAGACAAATAGAAACTAAGAATTAACTAGAGAACACAGCAAAATAAAAATAAAACCACTAATACTAGAAAACAATGAGCAAAGCAAAACTGAACACTAAAAAGAAAATATAACACAACCAAGACTGAGACAGTAACTAAGAAAGACCCAAAAAACACAATAAACTAAGAACAGAATCCCTACGGCGCATCAGAGTAATGAGGAGTTTACAGTCACCCAACACAAATACAATATTTGAAGTGATGACCTCTTTACATAACCCATAAAGGCAATTATATGTGTGTATACTGTATATACAAATATATATATACACATATGTGTGTGTGTTTGTATATTGTATAGTTTGTGAATTCAGTTCAGTAGTTAGCGCTCTTCCTATATGGAAAGTTTTTTTAAAATTTGAAAAATTTCTACTGGGCCAGAAAGTAAAGGCTTATGTTCAAATAAGCATTTGGCTAAATTTGTTGCAACCATGTTTTTTTGTGTTTTGAAGTGTGAATTGTGAAGTTGGTCTTAACTTTTTGATTCAAGTGACATTAAAAAGTAGTTAATTTAACTTGCCTTATGCTGTAAGAACCCTGATGTTGCAAAATGATCTCGAATACGAATTCAAAATGGTGTGGGAGCAATCCACCCACATCGATTAACCTTAAGAATTTATTTTGAGCAGTACTATATCCTAATCGTGGTTTTATATCTTGAATCTGAATAGCTGAAACGGACATGCCTGTAGACTAAACATTTGAATAAATGGTCTCCATAAGTTATGTTTACGACTACTGATTGGTACATTTTCAAGATTTGGTTGCACTAATAGCCCTCCATGTCATTTTGGAGGGAAATGGGGAGAGAGGCAAGAGAAATACAAACCACCACATATGGGAAACTAACAACTTCTAAGCCAGGTGAAGAACTTTGCTTAGAAGGGTATTTATGTGCTAAATGGATAAACAAGAAACCCTGGTCAGATATGTTTCTCTGAGATTATGCTTTCTAGTAGCCGCTGCTCTCAGAGCGGAACAAAAAAGCAGAGACAGGCAAGGTTGAGCCAATTCAAGTGTATTAAGCTGGATGTTAAACAAGTGGACGCTGCTTTGCTGCTGGATCAATGGAAACACCTTGGTGAGAAGCGAGGCGGTCATTGTTCGCAGGAGACAATGAAAAATTTACACCAAGACCCACGCCTCCGCTGGTGCAAGAGAATCATCAGCCATTTGAGACTCTTCGAAGAGGAAAGGGGGGAGTAAATATGTGTGTCTGTGTGCGTTGTGTCGAACCGACTCCCTCTCCCCCCTTTCTCCTTTTCCTCGCAGACGAATGTGAGGATAAATCGATAGCGCCGACGTCTGACTCGCCGCTAGCTGAGCCCTCATCCATCATCCTCCGGCCTTGCTGAGAGTGACACACACACAAATGCACACTATGACAGGGACATCTAAGAGACCACCAGCACTGAAGAGCAAGACATTTTCCCAGGGCATATGTGCAATATATCTACCTGTCAGTCTGTTTGCATGGTTCTCTCTTTTATCCACAAAGTTGGATCACTTCCTCTCTGCTGTTGGGATGAATTCCACCAACACAGGACACAATGCGCTGTGACAGGGCTAAAAGCAACACCCCCTGCTTTGCTGGAAGTGTGTTTAAAATAGATTGCTTCTGGGTAGTTCAGGGCAGGCGATCAATAACAATGCTGATTACAATAAAGCCCAAAGACGAGCGTGCCACGCAATATTTATCTCCGATGTCGATGTCGAGAGAAATTAGGAATCAATGGGCCACACAGCCCATTAATACACTTCGACTTAAAGTGACGGGGCAATGAGGTGAGGCCGGCGCACCGACTAGTGGGGAATGTACAACAGCTCAAGGAGCCAATTAATTTTTCCAGGCACCCAGGGAGGTAAACACCGGCGTTCCGGCAGAGGGGGCAAGCCACCGTTTGAGGTTGGGGCGATGCTGCTGATTGCTTCGCTTTAACACAGCTCAAGTGTCACACTCCCAAAAGCATCCCGGTCGATAAAGATCAAGGAAAAATTCGATAATTTGTGATTGCAAATGCAAGTAATTATAAGTAGTCTGATGCTAATCATAAAACACCAGACAATCTGTTAAAAATCTATATTTTGAGGGGAAATTTTGCACTAATAGACCAAGATGAAGGTGCAAATTTCTCCATTAGTTTAAGTTTTGACTTTACTCACATATATAGAATACTTAAACTGCTCTATGATAATAAAAAAAACTTTTAAAGGGCTCAAATGTATAGGCATATGCACAACCATTAATGTTTGGCCAAGTGTATGGAGTGGATTTTGTTCCCTTATTGTAGCAAGCAAAGAAGACTATTTACAAATGGACATTTGAAATAACACATTTTGTATACATGCATTCCAAAAAGTAAACTTCTATTTAAAAAAAAAGTATTAAGAGTAATTTGTTTCCTCCGATTTCTGTTCCCTTTTTTTAAATATATGTTCAGATTTAAATAAAAAGAAAAAAAACATATTGTTTTCCACTTTTTTCTAAATATTTTATGGTTTAAGTTTATTAGTTGTATTAGTTGTAGTATTTTTTTTTTTTTTATGACTTTTGCAAGGTTATGGCGGTTCATTGGAATAGCATTTTTTAGATCACATTCTCTTCATTTCATGCCCAATGCTAGCTCTTAACCAATAAAAATGTGTTTGCTATCTGTAAAATGCAATTCGAAACAAATGCAGTCCACATAGCTCAATCTGAAAAACAAAAATAACAGAAATCGTTCAATTCACCAAACATGTTCTTTGCTTGCAATGATATTGGAACTAAATTTACTTCATAGGTCGTACCCTCATTCAGTTGGTAGAATGTTTCCAAGTTCCATTTGTTTCCTGCCTTGTGTACTGTGGTGTTTTTACCTTTCCCTGTATCTGCAGACATAAATAAAGCTAAACCTGCATGTTTCACTGTCCAAAACAACAAGAAATGTAGAGGATTTAAAATCAACCAATCATGCAAAACTTTATTTCTTAATAAAAAACTTTAACAAACCATGAGACACACTTTTCTTTGGAGGATTGCAAATTCGAAAACAGACTTACTGACACTTCTGAACTGCTTAGAGTCATACACATGAGGTATTAAAGTGATTATTCATCAAATCTAAATGTCTGCATGGGTGTGGAGTTAATGCTGATTACAGTTATGACAAGAATTTGATGTTGCCGCTGGCATTTAATGCCTCAGTGGGCTCAGTCTTGAGATTCAAACAGATAAACGTGTTGACGGTAGTATTGCTCATCTCTCTCTTTCTCTCCCTCTCTTAGGGGATGATGTACCTGGAGGAAAGGCGGTTAGTCCACCGAGACCTGGCAGCTCGGAACGTGCTGGTTAAGTCGCCCAATCACATCAAGATCACCGACTTCGGTTTGGCCAGGCTTCTGGACGCCGATGAGAAGGAGTACAACGCGGACGGGGGCAAGGTTGGTGTAAGTGAAATGCATGAGAACATCTTGATGTGTGTGAAGTGCTCAAAATAGTTGACCTAGAAGGTTGTGCGGTGAGTTAATGTTGAAGTTATGATCACAAAGAGGTTTAAAGGTTGTAACCAGGAAAGTAAGTAATGCACTGCAATCCAATCTAGATGTATGTCTCGAGAGGTAGCGGCTAAATCGTTCCCCTTCGTAGGAGGATCTTTCTTTATGAACTGATTAATCGTCTGCAAAACTTTGCAGATTTTTACTTTTTAAATTGTTATTCTTTTTTTCAGGCAATCTCTTGTAGGGGTGGAATGGTTCACAAAATCCACGGTTCGGTTCACGATTTCGTGGTCACTGTTTTCGGTTCGGTTCGGTATATGCTGATTGTTTGCCTGACATGTTGGTCGTGTTGCTGTTAGCATAAACAAAACATGTTGCACAATGCTTGCACACTGTTGCACTTTTATCCACAACTTTCTTTCCGCTGTCATCGTAGGTCACTCTAAATGCAAAGTGGTCTGAACCGAACCGTGGATTTTGTGAACCGTTCCACCCCTTATATATAATAAAAACACACATTTCTAAGTCAATAATTGTGTTTTTTTTACATCAATATACTCCAAATAGAGGTGAAATTGGGCTTAAAATGTTAGTTGATTTATCTTTATTAAGAAAATATATCAATTGTTTGATTAGTCTACTAATTGAACAAATAACTTAGACTTAGACTGACTTTATTGTCATTTTCTACACACCGAGTGTATTCAAAAAGAAATTTCGTTCATTACAGTTCTCAAGACATTTCCATTTTTAAAGTGCAGCAGTGTTCAAAAGTAAGCAGCAGTGATGAAATGTAAACATCAGACTGGTATATAATTTACAGTTTTCAACATTCAGCGCTTTTATTTTTTTAAACTCATTTTATACAAAATTCAGCAGTCTAATGACGGTGGGGGGAAGCTGTTCTGGAATCTGCTGGACCTGCATCAGATGCTCGAGGTCTCTTTCCAGAGGGCAGCAGGGAGAACAGTCCATGGTGGGGGTGTGAGGGGTCATTTATGATATCATGGGCTCGGGACACACAGCGCTGGGATGAAATGTCTTTGTTGGAGGAAAGAGGAGCCTAATCACTAACTAATTGTTCAAGTAAATAATTATTAGTTGTAGCCCTAATTCCAATATGCATTTAATTAAAGAACATCATAAAAAGAAAGTAGAGGGTGGTTAGTGGAACAGAGAAAGAGAAAAAAGAGCAACCTTTCCTACCCTTCTTTTATTTAACCTTTTCAAAGCTGTAACAATAAGTTAGCAAGCTTCAGTCTCCTTTCTGCTCTCTATAAACACTTGTTTTGCATGTCAAACGACCTGGCACCATTCACCTAAGCTCGCGTATCTTTTCTCAGACAACTCTGCGAGCATGAAGCAGTGATTTTCATCCGACATTCTCCTGCAACAGAGCAGAAATGACTTTTCATCTCTCTTAACAGGCAGCATTTATAACCAGCAATCAAATAGCCATTTTCTGCTTGCTCGATGGCACAGAAACGGAAAATTGTTAACAAGAACAGCCAGGCCGCGGAGCCGTGCTGCCTTTATCTTGGTAGAAATTAATTGTAATGGTTAGCCACCTGAAAGGAATGAGTAAAATGGGGAATTTAGTAGTTTTTGTTCTTTTTTATACCCAGAATTTAATGATGGATTTAGTTGGTTGGGTGTGTTTTGTGTCAAAAAAAAAAAATGATGCAAAGATGCAAAGACACACAACCAAAGTCAAGGAGAAAAACAACTTTAACTTTCTTATTCAGACCATCTTTCCTTCCCACCACCTAATCAGTGGGTTCCAGTCAGTGTTCTTTGTTTAGCCATCATGGAGACCTGAAAACATGAAAACATGTTAACACGGTAATGTAGGCTTGAGTTCATTATCTGACGCATGCATATACACACCAGGAACCTGGAAACTTACTGAATTACAAAAAAACATTTAAAAAACAAACATGTTTCATTGATGTATATATAAAAAAATTTATATTAGGAACTATATTTATCAAACATTATACTGGGCAAGTAAACATTGTTTCTGGGCAAATGAAATGTGAAAGCCAAGTGGTAAAAATCCTTAACGTCAACCCCTGCATTGATGATCCGCACATAAAGGTTCCCATCTTAGTCTTAATAGCTACTGATGTCCAGTATTCAGGCGTTCAGATTAGATTCAAAACAGAGTAGAAATCTTCCCTAAAAATACGTTTTCCATTACTCCACTGCAAACAATATTTTGGACCATTTCATGCTTCCACGTTTGTAAGGAAGAGCTTGAGGATGAAGCAGAAGCCAGGACCCTAGTGGCATTGATCATTGAGCTGGATGTGGGTGAACCGGAGATAGATAGAACAATTGTAGGATGAACAAGAGCAGAGCAAAGTCAGGCCAAAAACACCCATCACCACATTTCTAAAACTTCTAAAAGTCTTTCCAGACGCTTTGCAGATTTTATATCAGGAACGGTTTAGAATACGAACTCAATCCCACTGAAGTCAAAAGTCTGCCAAAAGGGCAACACTTTAAAAAAGTACCCATGGGAGTACTTTTATTTAAAACACACATAAGAAACCACTTCACCTGTACAATTTCCCTCTTTTATGTTTTATTTAACTAAACCTCATGATTTTAATAGCATGAGTTCATGCTCCTGCATTTTATCCACCTCTAGAGGCTCTCTTGCAAACGTTTGGGAACTTTGGGAACACGTGTAGGAAATTCTGCCCCTTGAGACAGCATGGTTTTCTTCCTACCTGCAGCAAGTAAAATTCTCTTCACACTACTTGTTCTCACGAAGCAGGCATATCCAAAGTCAGTCCTAATGGGGGGGTTTCTCTGCTTCAGCAAAGCCGATTTTCATTGATTAAACAGGTTTTTGATGAACCGCAGTCATCAGAATCAGCTGTGCTGAAGCTGAGAAACATCAAAAACCTTTCTGCTCCTAGTGACCAACTCTGGACATGCCTGCATTAGTTTAACCCCTAAAAAATAAAATTCCACCGGTAAAATCTTTACCAGCAGGTGGAGCCATTGCGTGCAGCTCCAAGCTGATACCAACAGTTCCAAAGCCCCACAGCTCTGGAACTGTTATAGCTAGAGGTCTGAATTTTTCTGCATTTGTGGTTGCCATGATATAAAACAAATATAATACAATAAAACCTGCCTTTTCTCAAGACTGTCTTTATTACTGCTGTTCGAAAAAGACCTATCATTTCCGAGAATAAAAAAAACAACAACTTTGAGTCTTGTTTGAACTGTGGCAGCTTGGGATGTGTTCTAGTCACACAAATTTAATTTATATATTAGGAAACTAAAGGGTGTTAGCTTTCAAATAATGTATTGCACATGTAATTTGGGCTTACAGTTCCTAAGTTATTTGCTTTTCTATTTGGGTATGCAAAATAGGCGAGGATTACCCAGAATGAGGTGGATGTTAGGAGGTTAAAGATATACAACACATTCTTAGATTAATCATTTCATTCCAAGGTCTTTAATCAGAATCAAGTTTATTGCCAAGTAGGTTTGCACTTACAAGCAATTTGACTTGGTGTTGACTTTGCAGACATATTAGATATATATACAGAATCTATAGCTATATACAATACACAATATATAGTGTATGATATATTAAGATGTGTACTATATACACAGTAGACTGTCTGTTAATCTAATGCAGAAGGCCTGGAGATACTACGTTGATGTAGCTTGTAATTACCAAAATGTGACTTTAATATATAGTTAAAAGGTTATTATTTAACATTTTACATGTAATTGGCAGCTGCTAAATAAAATGAAGCAGATAATACATTTACATGCATTAAAACACTAAAAATGCAGAAAAATGTAAATAAGAAAAACAGAAATCTGGACACAAAAAAGGTATTTAATTTAATTAATTACTTAAATAATAATAATAAGTATAAACCCATGAGTAATAAAGCTGAGTAACTTATCAATTTTTACCCATTATGACCCACTGTTTTTGAGGTTTATCTGTTTTAAACATGTCTGGCGAATAAACATGAAATAAGCAAAAACAGAGGGCTGATTTTAAAAGAGGGTAACAGTCTTTAGTCAGAAAAATGTCTGGAAAATATTGTTTCAGTGATACAGTTTAGAGGCGCTTCATCCAAACAAAGAACGAAGCCAAAAAACTGCAGCGAGTTTGTTTTGCTCAGGGACCGCATCAATCAGAAGCTCCTTCGCTTTCCACCGCTCGAGACTCGCTATGCAAATTATTCTGATCAACTCCCTTTATTAAATCGGCTTGTTCATTGCCACGCGTATTCAGCTGGAGGCCCAAAGGTAGCCGCGGCATCTCCAGTCGAGGCTGTTATCTCTGACGGAGGGTGAAGGGGAGGAAACAAGCAAAAAAAAAAAAGCATTTTTCATAACCAGGGCGTGTTGCAAGCAGCCATCTGAATGATTGACTCCATGTTGGTGTTCACTGATGCCTTGATAAATGAGAGCTGTTGTCAGCACATCTGCATGGATTCGGTAAAAAACGGACGTGCAGCGAGAGATAAATCAACAGTAGAGGAGCAAACCTGAAGCTCGACATTTCCTCTGCTCTTGTTCATTTCCCTAAAGAGAGCTCGTGTCGCTCATGCAGAGAAGGTGACTGAGTCTTGGATGACCGACTCCTATGCGTGTTCAAAAAGGCAACCTAATTGGCCAAAAAAAATCAATGTCAGGAGATCTTTTATGGTAACAGTTTGACACAAACATTTTGGCTAATTTAGATAATATAATATGATAATATGATGGTAAAAGTGTTGAGTTGAGTACTTTAAATAGTGTTCTTCACAGAGATGGGAAGAAACGAAGTACAAATACTTTGTTACTGTACTCAAGTAGATTTTTCTGATATTTTTACTTTACTTTACTACTTATTTTTATGGCAACTTTTTACTTCTACTCCTTACATTTTTACACAAATATCTGTACTTTCTACTCCTTACATTTTAAAATTCATTCGCGGCAAATCATTGCAGCTTGGTGGCGGTGGCGTTAGCATAGTAGCATGGACGACGAGATGATTGAAAATGAACACAACGGAGATCTAGTCCTATTGGCAGACATCCATTTAAAATGTAGGCAACGGCATGAAAAAAGTGGTTTCTACTTTTACTTTTATACTTTAAGTAAATTTACAAGCCTGTACATTGTTACTTTTACTTGAGTAAAGAAGTTTAATCAGTACTTCCACTTTTACCAGAGTATTTTTTTTAACACAAGTATCTATACTTTTACTCAAGTACGGAAAGCGAGTACTTTTGCCATCTCTGGTTCTTCATAAGTAATTATCCAAAGATTGGGGTGTGATCCATCACCTAGCGATGCAGTGTATTCTCATTATCAGTTCGTATGTGATCGTACGAAAAGTTATGCACAGTAATTTCGTACGTTTTTGGCGTTTTTTTCGTCGCATTTTTCATTATTTTTACGTCTTGCCTTGAGACAAGATATCCTTGCGCATGCACATCTTACGCACCATTAAATAACATAGAATTTAACATACAATTAACCCTAACCCTGACCCTACACCTAACCCTAAGATACAAAACAGCAAGAAATGTAGTTCGAGACATCATGAAGTAATTATTGCGCTGTCCGTCCCAGTTTTTTTCGTCCGAAATACTGTGCATAACTTTTCGTACGATTTCATACAAACTGATGATGAGAATATGTTGAGCGATGGGCTTCTTACACTCAGAAAGATATTATACCCAAATTTTAAGATTTCCTACCATGATGCATATTTATTATTACTTATATGAAATACATAATCATTAGGTTCATGTATTTAGTGTTAATAAAGAAAATTTACACAAAAGATACTGGTGAGTGCTTTTATTTAATATACAGTTTATTGTTGTTGGAATTAAGCTAACCCTGATCGTTTTGTAATTCAAACACTTAACTATTATTTGAAATAAACACACTCAGTATTAATTTTAAGTTATACTAAATACTTAATTAATCCATTATCTGACATGGTTTATCCCGAGAGGGGTCGCGAGGGGTGCTGGTGCTTATCTCAAGCTGTCTATGGGCGAGAGGCGGGGTACAACTTGGACAGGTCGCCAGTCCATCGCAGGGCAACACAGAGACAAACAACCATCACACACTCACATCTAAGAAGAATCTAGAGAAGCCAATTAACCTTACAGTGATGTTTTTGGACTGTGGGAGGAAACCAGAGTACCCTGAGAGAACCCAAACATGCTCAGGGAGAACATGCAAACTCCATGCACAGGGTTTCCACAGGTCATTAAAAATCGTTAAAAGTCATTAAATTATAATTTTTTTAATTAAGGCCTTAATTGGCATTAAAATTCATTAAATGTGATTATCATGGCATTTAAAATGCTTTATAAAAAATAAAAGAAAATAGTCAAATATATCAGATTTAACTAGTTCCACGTGTTTGTGTGGAACTGCTCCTGGTTGATCCTAAAGCCATATGTTTGGAACAGAAGCTCGAGGCACAGAAAAAGCAAGAGAATGGGGAAAATGCTAATTTTAACGGCTGGAAAACGAGAAACGTGACTGGATGGTAAAGATTGCGATGGATTTGGCCGTGTTTATATATATATATATATATATATATATATATATATATATATATATATATATATATATATATATATATATGAGAGTAATGGCTACTTATTGATGGCATTACATTTTTTTCTAAGAGCATTAAATTACAGTTCCTCCTTCCTGTGTAAACCCTGCATGCAGAAAGACCCCGGGCCGGAAATGGAACCCAGAACCTTCTTGCTGCAAGGCAGCAGTCCTGCTGGGCCACTTAGCAGCCTACTAAATACGTAAACCTGACAATTAATTTTAATAATCTAACTTTTATTGGTCTCACATTGGAGAAATTTACCTCTGCATTTAACCCATTCCGTTGGGGAGCAGTGGGCTGCCGTCGTGTGGCCCCCGGGGAGCAGTGTGAGGTTAAAGGTCTTGCTCAGGGACCCAGGGTGGCAGTCTGTGGGAGTGGGGCTCAAACTCAGAACCTCAGGATTCCAAGTTCTATGTCCTAAACATTAGCCCGCCACTACCTATTATGTATTTTAAATAAATAAGCTATATTAAACCAATGAATATGCATTAAGATTTATTTAATTGATTTGTGTACAATTATCTAAAAAAATTACATTAGAATTACAAAAATATTTAAATTTGGGTAAAATAAATTTCTTTCTCTCTTTTCTTGGTTTCTTAAATGTTTCAGATCCTCAAATATTGCTCACATCAGATATAGATCACCAAATAATTGCAAAAAGTACTTTTCAGGTTATTATTTCATAAACTGAAGGGAAAAAAGTTTTCCACACTATCAGTCTATGGTTGAAAGTAATCACCCCTCATATTAAAACTCAAATTAAATGATAATTTAGGGCTAGATCAACAGGAACACTATACTATATTTGCCCACCTTTCTCTGAATGTTGCATCCAAAGCGAAAACGCGTTAGCATCAGGTTGAAATGCTAAGTCTCTGGTAAAGATTACTTCTACTCCATTTCACTCAGATGTGTATTGTTTTTTTTCTGTTTTGTGAAGAATAAAATTAATAATTTTAGAATAATACAATGCTCAATTTGTTTTTTTTACACCTCTAAGAAACTCATTAAAATCATTAAAGCTAGAATAATAGTTCAAATACTTCATTAAGTGAGAGCTGAATTTGAAAAGGAGGCACTAAGAATGCAGAATCGGAGCAAGGAGGAGAGAAAGAGGAGGAAATTCAAGCCCCCTCTTCCTTTAATCACTATAGGAAATGCTTTCTGACCATATTTGCAGACTATTCCTCACTTCAGAGGAAAGAATTGAAGAGAGTGTGATCTGGAAAAGGCAGTTTGAAAAGAATGAAATTCATAAAACTCAGAAAAATATCAGAAAATATAAAACCTGTAAAACATTGTTTTAAATAATTTGTTTTAAAAAATGAACAATGAAATCTAAATTCTGAGAAAAAGAAGTTTCAGTGATTGAATATTTTTCTTTTAGATATTATTTCTGAATTAATTTAATTAATTTCAAATGACCAAATCTGTTCATTGGAACAACAATAACGCAAAATGCACGCCATAATCTACCTAATAAGAAGGTGAAAATATGCATCCTTGCATAGTTCAGGTAGGAGGAGATTTAAATTGGAACAGAGGAATATTCAACTAGTATTATTGAGCATAAATTAACATAGCAGAACATAAAATCTTAGTTGGAACTGCAGTAGATCTTCTAATAGACACGGTTTTTGTGGAATGACTGTTTCACCATTTTGGGTTTAAAAAGATGTGAACGGTCCCGCTGTGTGTCTCCTCAGATGCCCATCAAATGGATGGCTCTGGAGTGCATCCATTACCGGAAATTCACCCATCAGAGCGACGTGTGGAGCTATGGTGCGTCCTAAATGCATTTTTTTTCCTTTTCAAAGAGACGTCAATGACCTTAAATCCTGTTTTCTTAAACCTCATTTTCACTCGATTGCTCTCCTGCTTCTCTCCTCTTTCCCTTCTTGTTCCGTCCTAAAAAGGAGTGACCATCTGGGAGCTGATGACATTCGGTGGCAAACCGTACGACGGCATCCCAACGCGAGAAATCCCAGACATCCTGGAGAAGGGGGAGCGCCTGCCCCAGCCTCCCATATGCACCATCGACGTCTACATGGTCATGGTGAAATGTGAGCAAACGTGAATACTTTAGTAAACAGGGATGATGAAATACAAGGTTTAAGTGAAGCAAGACAGTTATTTTTGTTGCCTTTCCATCTGTGAGGTTTGCCCATTTTGGGCCTGGCAGTAGATAAAAATAGTATTAAATCAGCTGCTGGTTAATATGCGGCTGGTGTCAGCAGTGGGGCAGCTAAGCAGAGGGTAAAGCCCTTCTCCGTTGTCAGCACCTCTAAAGATCACTAATTAAAACATTACATTTGGAGTAATGCGCGCCAAAGTGCGGGAGTGGCTAGGACTACACATGCTGGATTTGTGGCTGGGAGTAGGAACTGCTTTGATGATGTTGCCAGGCAACTACTTAGCCAGAAAGTCGAGAAAGATGCTGCATTCTATCAGCAAAATAGAGTATGAACTAAGGGAAAGTTTGTTTATTTAGCTCCTACTCCCAGCTAAGGGCATTTCAAGGCAAAGATTAACCACAAGTTCAGGATTTAGCGCTTTGTCCAATTTATTTATATTTCCTCTGATTTACTGTTTAAATTTCTATATGTTAAAGATGTTAAGGGATTAAAATGCTGTTAAAATTCATGCAGCTATGCAGAGTATGTTTTATCTATGGAGCTAAAATAATAATTTAAGGGATGCATCACTTTGTTTGTTTGTTTGTTTGTATGTGTGCTGTTTACAGGGGTATTTAAACTAGTCATATAAAAAGATATGGTAATTTTTTTATTGCTTTCCTGCTTTAAAGAAATATAGGGTACATACAGAATAATGTCAATAAAACCATACGTAGCACACACAGCTCCAGATTGCACAGTGTTAGGGCCAGTTTTTCTCACTTGTTATAGGATTTTTTTAGGTATTTTTTAGTGGCTTTTATGTTTGTTATATAGAATAGTAAGCAGACAGGCAGTGGGTACGGAAGAGGATTAGGGCCACTGAAAAAAAAAAAAGTTAACTGATTTTTTTTAATGTTATTTCAGTATAGAATGGGAAAAAAGTCAGAATTCCGACTTTAATCTCAGAATTCTGACTTTTTTCTCAGAATTCTGACTTTTTTTCTCAGAATACTGACTTTTTTATTGTCAGAATTCAGTCAGAATTCTGACTGAAATAAAATTTAAAAATCAGTTAACTTTTTTTTTTTCTTCAGTGGCCCTAATCCTCTTCCGTACAGTGGGGGGACATAAGCTTCTATAAATGGGTCAGTCCCTTAGCCCCTGCACCATTGACATGGTATTTTTTCATTTTGATTAAGTACTCTGCCAAACTTTGTCTAGTGTTAATAATAAAACTTGATGTTAAAGGTTTATTTGTATCCCTAATCCTGCTAGTCATCTCTGAAGAAAAATCATGTCTTTTGGAGGGATTTTTAGTGGAAGCAAAGAGCCAATTTTTTGAATAATAAAAAAAAATATTTAAATCCAGAAAGGTTTAAATAGGAAAAATGGGTTTTGAGAATCCCTTTGCTGTCTGGAAATCATTTTCATTTTTTTTTTTTACAGATTTTATATTTCTGAATTTTGTTTATTTAGAAAAAATAAATGTATTTTATAGGTTTTTTTTCCCACATTTTTCTTTTCAGGTTGAGCTTTATAAAATGTATTCTTTTTCGATAAGGTTTTACAGATTACATTCTAGTCAAGCCCAATACATAAAGTCAATCTTGCGCACAGGGACCAATAAAAATGTCGTTAATGTCCTGGTGGCCAATCGAAATTCCACCCCTCGCTTCAAAGGAAAGGCCGCCCTCTTTAGTGAAGAGAATTTGATCTGTAAAACGCAATTTGAAGAAAATTGAATTCGTAATGGTCAATCCGATAAACAGAAATTTGCAAAAACAAAAAAAAGCTAAAACCTTTTTACTTTTATAAAAGAAAATTCAGTTTCACTACTGGATTGCATTTATTTTAAATTCTATCTTTTTTTTTTCAATGTTAAAAATGCGTATTTTCAAATTTCTATTGCCAAAATGTGATACTGGTTTGCAACAATAATGGATCAAGAGTCCCTTAATAAATGGTTTAATAGAGACAAAAAAGTAAAAGTACTAAATATCCAACTAGGGAGGTTCTACATGCATCTTTTTTTTTATATTCACCCGTTCAAACGGTATTGATGCTTCAGCTTCATTTCAAGGCCAGAAGAGACGCTGGTTTGTAACGAGTATGCCAGAATCAAACTGATGGTGGTTTAGGGTCTGTGATGGATAGGCCAGCCTCACCAGAGACTACAATGCTATTTTTTTGTTGTTGCCATCTTGTATTTGAAATGCCCAATACTTACCCATAACTTTCTTTTCATATGACCCCTCCAGAAGCCCCCATCTCGTTCATCATCCCTGTCGCTCCCTTTTCCTGGCTGTATTCAGAGCCCTGGTGCTTCTGTGCATGGTTGCAGACTGATCCACCCTCCCATATTTCCAGGAAACAGTCCAGACGCATATTGCCAGAACATGCTTCGAGCTATGCCAACCATCATTTTCTTGGCCAGATTCCCTCGTACCCGTCTGGTTATCACTCAACCTTGTCTGAACTCATCTCTGCCTGAAATGCCCCTGAAAATGATTGCATACAAATGTGTCCCACTTACTAGTTATCGTTTTTGTTTTGTTTTTTGTTGCACGGTTTCTGTTTCGGAAATCTGAGCGTACGCCAACAATGCCACAATGAACTGGAACTTTCCTGGACTTGTTTGGGGTTCTCAGCTGAAAGGGTTAGAATTGAAAACAAATGTTAGAGTCTGTAATGTCCACAATGAGTTTGGACTGCAAATTTACTATTAAAAGAACAAATTTTAAGTTTTTTAGCTAATTTGGAGGATTGAGATATTTTCTTTTACTTTAAAGAATTGGATGAGATGTGGGCAATAACTAAACAAGTCTCATCCGAGAGCTTTTTCTGTCCTTTCATCCAGCAGTTCCTTAAATCAGTCGAAAGTTTCCCTCTATAAATGGCTTTCTTTAGCATCTCCAACTAATATAAAACATAAAACTTTCAGCTTATCAGGGCTTGAAACATCTTTTTCTATCATTTTAAATCTTTGTGATCAAAAATCAACCCGATCATCTAAGCGAGGGGTGGTCACTGAAATCTGCAGCCCAGTCCCCACCTGCTGTTTCATTTTCTCTTCAGGGATTAGCTGTGTTTACTGCAGCTGTAGCCTGAGAAGGGGGGGGGGGGGGGGGTGGGGGCGGGGGAGGACCTTGGAATGAAAGATAAAAAAAAGAACAGAAACGCACTTCGCTTCTTTTTATCCATCTCTTCCAATGCCCTTGAGCGACACACTCGGTCCGTCGCCTGTAAAGAACTCAATTAAAACGAGCATCTCTGTTGCTCATATGGCATTCTTTGAAAAAATGAAGGCTGATGTTAAAAAGAGGCTAATTAAAATGAATAGTCTTTTTTTCTTCCTGCCATAAATGAATGTATTTGGTGAAACATTTAGCACGTTCTGTTAGAAATGCAGCACCCGAAAAGCTTTTTAAGAGCAGCAATGATCGTCTGGTCTGAACTGAAAAGGCTATAAAAGCAGGAGAAGGTCAAGACAAGTGTTTTATTTAAAGATGGTAAAGAATCTTTAGGAAGGTGAAGAACCAGAAGTTTGCCTCCTCATTCACCCGTTTTATCTATTGTGAATGTGTTTAGCAGCTCCGCTTTGTTTCCCTTATTTCTCTTCCAGGCTGGATGATTGATGCAGACAGCAGGCCGAAGTTCAAGGAACTAGCCGCCGAGTTCTGCAGAATGGCTCGTGATCCGCAGCGGTATCTGGTCATCCAGGTATGTCTCCTACCAAGACATAGTTGACATGGGAAAGTCATTGCCAATATGGCTTTTAGTTGGACCTTTAGTTGAACATAAGGGTGTCATCAGACATGGATGGCATAGTCAGCCTAACTTGACCTGATAATGCCAGACCTGTACAGTCTAGATATCACCTAAGCAGAACACAAAGTAGGCTTTGTTTTCCATTTTGTTTTCCCGAAGCTAACGATTCACACATTATCCCTCTGTAGGGAACATCACTATGTGCCTTTAACCTCCTACACCCTAAGGGGGTATAAATAAATTTCTGGCTGACAAAAACACCCAAAAGTAAATCACTTATAGCCTCACAGCTATTAGATTTAAGAAGAAACTTTTGGTACGTCTGTAAAGGTAAGATGTCATAGAATGGTTTTCTGGTGTCAGCACCATTGTAGCTTTGACCCTGCCTGAAATATTAGGGACAAAATACAAAATATTTTGCATTTTTTGAACCTCGCCAAAATTTTCTTTGAAATAAACATTGCAAAACACTACCAAAATATTATTTATAGCACAAAAAAGTAGTACAGACTTTTTAATCTAAATGTTGTGTAAAAATATACCAAATTTGGAGTCAATCGGATGAATCATATTTTTTTTAGAATGGTATTAGTGAGAAATTTCTTAGGCGGAGAGGCCATTTTGGCACATTTATCCAAAAATGTCACCAAACTGTGCCAAATGTGTTTTTTACATCAATACTGGGGGTTTGGTAAAATAACGAGGTCACGTAGCAGCTGGACCCACCGGTGGGTCCGTAGGGTTCTAGGGGTTAAGAATTTATATAGTTTAAAAACAGAAAAAACAAGTCAAATTTGAGGTCTAGTGTACTCTTTAAATGTCCGTTTTCGCCAGTAAGTCCAATCTTAGACTAGCCCAGAAATGAGACTTGGCATAGTCTATTGGTGATTGCTTTTACCAGGGTGAAACTATAAATTATTATGTTTTTCCATTACAATGCAGGTTTATTTTTTACCTTAAATATTAAAGTTTTTATTTACTAAAGTGGGACAAACTTAAGAGCTCTCTAAAGGCAGAGGTGATACTATTTCCGAGCTCCGCATCCAATTAAGTATTTCAATCAATTTGGAATTTAGCATTTGGACCAAAACGAAAACCTGTCATTTTTATGTTTGTGATTCAGGGGGACGACAGGATGAAGCTCCCCAGCCCCAATGATAGCAAGTTCTTCCAGAGCCTTTTGGACGAAGAGGACCTTGATGACTTGATGGATGCAGAGGAGTATCTGGTGCCTCGGGGTTTTAACGTGACCGCTTCGTCGGGCACAGCAGACTCCAACAGAGTAAGAGAACTGCTCACGTTTGGGAGAGGCTTTTGGATGTTTTACAGTGATGAGATAAAAACCTCAAAACTGTTTCCACAGTAAAAGTGAGAACAACATCTATGAATGGATAAGAAGATCTGTTGTAAGGCAAATTACAATTTAATAACTCAATGTAACAAACTGCACTTTAATACTTTTCAAACTGAAGCTAAATCTTCGAAAAAAGAGGAAAAATAAATCATAACATCTAACGTCATTTAACAGATAACCTGTAAGTATAATTTACTATAATTAATAAGCATAAAATGCGTTTTATTTTTACTTCATCTGATCCATTCAGTCTTCTAATCATATTTGCTTCTTAAACCTAGATCAAACTAAATAGTCATGACAGAATAATGCAATAAAATAAATGCACAAAACCATTGCATTGTTAAACCATTTGCTTTACTGCCATTTTACAGCTGTTTATTATACAAATGCATAACAATCTTCATCTGACAATACTTGACTCATAACGCTCATGTATTTTGTGCCTGAAGCTAAACAAAAAGCAAACCGAGTTGCAAAATAAAGAAAATATTCAAATTTATTCCAATCCACAGCAATCTAGAGTCAGAGCAAAGAGAAATCTGCCCCCCAAGGATTCTTAGACTCTTAATGTATAAATAAGCATCTTATTAATTATTCAAACCTTACTTCAAGTATACAAAATTCCCAAAGATCCCATCATGTCATTATTTATTGGTTAAATATCAACATTAAATGGGACTCCCCAAGAGATAGTAAACCCACATAACATAAAGGGGGTTCTGTCTTTTTATTGTTATTACCATTCAGAGATGGGAGAGGAATCGGCACCTTATGGCTTTATTAAAACGAGAAAAGAATCATTTAGTTCAATATATTTTGTCAGATTAAATGTTGTTAAACCATGTTTCCGCACATTTTTTGATATATTTTACTTAGAGATTCACAAAATTATTTAAAGGGAGTTTATACTTTATATTAATGCATACATAACTTTTTCCTCGTCAAAACGACTAACTTTTCAGAGTTAAAACAGTGGTGGAGAATAGAAGTATTAATATTGTTTTAAAAGGAAGTTTTAAGTATATATAAATGACTATATTTTTCATAAATTTTGACATTTACATCCTGTTTATGATGCCAAAGTTCAAGCAAAAGGATTCTGCACTAATCGGAATTATAGGTTGAGGTCACATGAGATGGAGCTCAAGCGTAGCCAGATGCTAGTAGCTCAGTGACAGAGCTTAAAAAAGCTTATTTTCAGTGTCATATTTCTAAGATTCAAGACAAAAAAAAGAAGCATAACAAGCTTGAACATTTTCAGTGTTGGTGTTCAGTGTCCAACTAATGGAAGCAAAGTGTCATGATTTTACTAAAGTTCAGAGCCAAATGCTAAAGACCAAACAGGGAGACCAGGAGAAAAGGTTTAACAGGTTTTATTGAAGAGATAATGCTGAGAGAAGTGTTGATCTGAACCAGCTCAACCGGAACTGAAAAGTGAGGGGAAGGCACAGCGATTAGTTCAGGCTCAGTGGGAAATTTGATTCATGAACTTGGAGAAGAGGATCTGGTTGCTGACTCACGTTTGCAGAGAAGTTGTTGAATCTTTGACTCTAGTCTTTATGCTGTAGTTCCAGTGTTTGTCTGATTCGGTGGAGGGCGGAACAGGGTTTACCCACAATGCGGTTGTTTGTAGGTGAACGGAGAAGCTGACTGCCACTCCTGCGGTACTTGAAAGGGTCGTAGTGGAGATGAATCCTTTTCTCAGTGTGAAGCTCAAACGATCTCTTGGGGAAAGTGGGTCCAAACCTCCTGTTTGTAACCCCAGCTGAGCTTAAAGCTCTGTTTATCCTTCCAGGGAGAGAAGGACCGAAAAACACAGTTTGCAGGATGACTTCCTGCCGAGAGGCAAAGACAAAAACAATGTTAAAACTAAGGTTGACAAGAACTCAGTTTGACTCAGCTAAACTCAGCTTGGCTAGAGTACCTAAACTGGCAAACACTCTGGCGTCGACGTAGTGGCAGTCAGCAGCTTAAGAACACTCCGTTAACGAGGTAACCATCAGCAGGTGTGTGAGGAGGCGGACCAGAACCAGGCGCCTCCTGGTGGAGGAAGGGAGACAAATACAGAAACACAAACACACAGACAGGAGTCCTGACACAAAGTTGCTTAGAAACCATGTAGAGGTTGCTGCTTTTCCTTCTTAAATTAGTTCTTACCACCAATTAGCATTAGCATTGACCATTACTTGGTTACCACCTTGAAACCTTTTGTGATTTTAATTTCTGCAGTCAGCCTTACAATTCACCTGGAACAACCAGTGTTGCATTAAAGATGCAAGCATCGATCAGTAGAACATAGGAAGTGGCATAATTTGCATAGAGAGGGAAAAAAACGACAACACACTTGTAAAAAAGTTTGAACTTCAATGGTTTAAGTTGTGCAAGATGTTTTTGCAGCAAAAATGTTAATTTGTGCTGCTTTTGTTGTAACGTTATTAGCTATTGGTCTAAAGGACGGGACCCCAACCCATCTCCCATAAACAACAATAATTAAAAATGGTGTCAAATGCTGAGTACATTTGTGCAGCAAAAACTTTTATTAGGGTTGCTTTTTGTTTGAAGTTGTTGATGAAAGTTCAAAACGTCGACCAACCGCAATAAAACGACAAATTCAACAAAAATAGGGTAAAATGTTATTGCTATGTATGTGCAGGAAAAATTTGTCAAAAGGTTTGATCAAAAAAAAAAAAACTTTTTACTGACCAAATATATCAAACGTTTGTCATCTTTTTGGGGTAATGTCAAAAACACACCAACCCAGACCAAGGAGTACAGAGACATTGCCTGCAGAGGCTAAAATCAGGTGGCTGGTAAGGTTAAGAAATTAAATTATAAATTTTGAAAACTTTTTGTGTATACTCTGATTACTATTCTGAAAGTGTTTCAACTCAAATATTTGGATATTTTATAAAAGCAAAGAGATAAGGCATGTAATTTCTACAGATGTCATTCACTGACTCCCATATATACTACTGCCAAAGCTGTTGTCCTTTAGAAGCACTCAAGGGGGTTAAGAGTTAGCAATACACCAGTGATTTTCTTGCACTAATGCTCTATAGTTCCAACATTTCCATTCCAACGGCCTGCTTTAAATCTGGACTTATGCACTAAGGTCCCCAGGCCCCGACTTTCATTACTGGGCACTTTCTAAGCAAATAACACATCCCCTCTTAAAAGGCTCGAGCTGTTTACTAATAGACAATAAGAGCAGGATAATGCGGCATGTACCTCGTGCTGCTGGAATAAGGCTCTGCATCTTATGCAGCTTTAACCCCTGCAATCTGCAAATCTCTTCTTGCCGGGAACCAGTGCTGAAGGTCAGTAAGTCTGTCTCTGTTTTGATTGTCCGGTCAAACCAGGGGGAAATAATTAATCTTTCAAACAGTTTCCTTTGAAGCTAGAATCTAGTTATTTCCTATGCCTTTGCAGAGGTGGTCTCTGTTATCTGAGTCAATTTGCCTTCATACTTAGACTAAAAAGAGGCAGTTAATGACTTCATTTGAAGCAGGATTCAAGTTAGAAATTTGGAGGAGGAGGCAGTTGACTGCAGGGGTGGTTAGACTGTAGGAGTAGGTGGACAGCTATAACTCCAGGACATTTATCTTTTTTCTCGTTGTTTTTTTGTTGATCTGCTTGATGTAATTGTTGCTCTGTGCTCACAGTTTGCACGAGTGCAGAAGAAGAAGGGCTGCATTAAACAGCCCAAGGCAAGCCAACACAGCACCATGAGAAGCCCTCTGCTTCGCGTGTCATGTTTTGTGTTTTCTTCTGGGGGTTTTCATTCTTTTTTTGAAGTTAGAGTGTAGGAATTGCTTCTTCACCCGGCTGCCCCTCACAATCCCTAATGGGTACAAAGCAAAACTTGGAGGCTTTAATTTATTGTTATTCTTAGGCCTCCTGTGAGATTTTCATATTAAAATTCCAGTCTTTCTCAGAAGCAATCAAGTTCTCAAATTGGTTCTTGGCTAATTTTTAAAATTTAAGTGGTGTAAATGTCCAGTTTACAGTATTGTATCACAATTGTATTGTTGACATTGCAATGTTTCCCCATAGATACAAAAGTACTCATACTCTAGTCTACAACCCAAAATATACATAGATTTTATTAGACTGTGAAAGATCAACATAAAGTGGTGCATAATTGTAAAGTAGAAAGAAAAATATTAGTCATACCAGAAACTACTGCTTTCCAAAAGTTTCTATGTCTGCACTGAATGTGTAAGAACTGACATTGTGGTAATGACTTACAGTTACAGTTTGTTGCACACTCAGAACAATAGGCATTTGAAAAACATTAAAATGTGGTTGAGATGTTTGGGGTGGGTCTGGTGCCCCTCACACCTGCTATTGATCCTATCCTCCTGCTTAGGAACACTTGCAAACCTATGTAAAAGCCACATTAGTTTGTTTCCAGGCATTCAATTGTTGTGATTGGTGTTTTTTTAATCCAACATGGATGTGAATTAGAGACCCGCTCGCCGTTCTCCTAGGTCGCTGGAGTCTGTTTGTCATGGGTTTTGTTATTGGCTGTTTTAATGATAAGGATGCTGGTTTTTTGGGGGTTATATCTGCCTTTTTTTTTTATGGCACAAATAGCAAATTTTTTCAAGAAAAGAAAAAGGAAAAAACATAAAACAATGTTAGCATTTTCCACTACTTAAAAAACCCATTCTTCACCACAGAACCAGTTTGGCTATCGAGATGGGGGCCCAAATGCGTCGGAAGGAGCCCTGGCCGGGGCACAAAGCAGCGGAAACCAGGAAGCTTCTGGCAGCCAGGGACCGGCTCCGGAGGACCAGCGGTGCAATGGAAGCCTGCATAGAAAGAGCCAGAGCCATGCTGCAGGGGAAGACAGCGGGACCCAGAGATATAGTGCCGACCCCACCATCTTCCTGGGGGACAGAACGTCCAGAGGCGACACTGATGAGGAGGGCTACATGACGGCAATGAAAGACAAGAGTTCCTCAGGTATTCAAAGAGAAAACCAAGCAGTACAACGCTTAAGAAGACTTACCCTAACCCTGCCATGCCTTTAGTAATTACTAGTGTTGCACCGATATCGGCGAGTACCAACAAATAGGGCACCGATACCATTTTGAGAGCCATAAGTTTATTCAACTATTGTCACCCACTCCTGGTAGGCAATAAAAAGTTCTACTGGATTCACTATTAGATTTTTTCCTGCTTCACAAAGGTAGGCAGCAGCTTGACAAAGCCATGATGGCAATTATTTTGCATTATTATGGTATCGGTATCGGCCGATACTGCACAGCCAGGTATCGGGTATCAGTATCGGGGCCAAAAAAGGGCATCTGCGCAACACTAGTCATTACATCACCGAATACAGCCCCGCTCTATTAATTTTGCTTTAATTTCATTCGATTATGGGGCTTGGACACAGTGGGGAAGAGTTATTTGTTTTCCACTTTGACCCCCCCCACAGATGGAGTTTCCACTGTTGGCGTTCTGCCCATATGGTCCTCTGTGGCTGCAGTTATTAGCCCTTGATCCTTCTGTACTTTCCCTGTATTTTCTTCTTTTTTATTTTGTCTAAATTGATTTCATTTCTATCGTGACAACTTCCTTATCTTTTATTCTATGGCTTCCCCTCTGCAGAGTATCTGAACCCCATCGAGGAGAACCCCTTTGTATCCAGACGTAAAAATGGTGAGATCCACGCTTTGGACAACCCTGGGTACCACAGCACGCCCAACAGTCAACCTAAAGGAGAGGATGAGTACATCAACGAGCCCCTCTACCTCAATACCTTCCACAATTCTGCTGAGCTGGGCCTGGAGGCCCTGAGGAGGAACGGTTTACCCTTACCCAATCTGCCTCCTTCTTCCATCTCAGCCTCTGCACCAGGTTCCCATCTCCCACTTACAGTTCAGACCAGTCTGCCCCACTACCCTTTGCCCTCGGTACAACCATCTCCTGCTGGCCTGCCCTGCCTCCATGTCCCAGCAACTCACATCCTCCATGCCCACAACACCATCAAACCTCCAGGTGGCTCCGTCACTACAAGCCAAGCAGGAACTTCTGCTCAAGCCCAGGTGAGCCAATCCGGTTCCCTTTCAACTTCAGCCACCTTTGGGCATGGAAGCCTGCCAGCGTACCAGACCTTCACCCACTCACATCCGGGGAGCTTGCTGAAACATGGAGGGCATACATCAGGAAAGGCCAGTGGGAAGAAGCTCAAGGTAACCTTTGACAATCCTGAGTACTGGCAGCACAGCTTGCCCCCAAAATCATCCATACAGGTGGCCCCTGACGGGGCCCAGGGAGGCACAACCAATGCCAAGCTCTTCTACAAACAGAACGGACACATACGGCCAGCTGTAGCCGAAAACTCAGAGTACATGTCTGAATTTGCTCTAAAGTCCGGCACTGTTCTGCCACCTCCCCCCTACAGGCAGCGAAACACTGTGGTCTAGATTGCCCCACCCACCCCCCAATCTGCCGTCCGGACATCCTATCTGGTTCCACCATCAGTGGCGTCGAACAAAAAAAACGACCCGACTCTTTGCCATCTGCTGTAGCAACATCCAAATGAGTTAGACAGGTATAACCAACTCGGACACCTTCCCTATATCCAGTCTGGTCCATTTCTATTTGTAGATAGACTCTTACCACTCGATGAGATGCTTATGGCAAAAAGATCAGGTGGTGGAGGTACTCTGTGATGATGCACCAAGGCAGACGCACAAAGGATCCAGCTTTGGGGACATGAACTCACTGCCAGCCACCTTGGTGTCAATTCTGTGAGAGAAACAAAGGCTTTTCTATTATTTGCCAGCAAAAAAAGAAAAAAGAAAAGCAAAGAGGATGAGCAATAGTTTCTTAAATAGGAAAACCATCACTGAATGAGGTGGAAAAAGAATAAAGAATGTGAGAAAAGAACAAGGCGCAGTATGGAAGGAGCAACAGAAAAAGACTTACCCGTCATATTCAGTGTTTTTGCCTTTCGGGTTATAACGTGTGTTCTTGAATTTTCCATCAAATGTGTGAAAATCATCTAATCCTATTGTTACTGTGATGATGTGATGGCCAGAACTGCAACGATCTCTTTTCTTTGTAGTTCAACCTCAGACTTTATACAACCGCCTGAAAATATCCAGGGCAACTACTGTTAGTTATTTCCTTTGTTTGTTTTTGGTGAACTGCTGTAAGCTTGGAGATGATGATCAAAAATCCCATTCAAGGGGGGAAAAGTACACTGTTGTTACATTTCTATACACTACTGAAAATGATTCATTTTCTACACTGTTTTTTTTTTTCCCTTTCACATCTCAAAGCTAAATTTAATGAGTAAATGTGAAGTAAATTGCTGCAGACAGACAACAGTGAAAAGATAATCTGGAAAGCGGCAGAACTCAAAATGTCGATCACAGGGAGAGGGATTCCTCGGAAGAAATTTTAGCAAAGGTTCCTACAAGCTGACTGATGAAGACCTCAAGGAACGATTGTGGCAGTACAAGCAGGGTGCAGGAAAATAGGCAACCTGTTAATGCGTGCTTGCATCAGTGTGATTGGGATGAGTGACTATGTGTGTTTCAGCAAGCCATCTTGGCCCCTTTGAGAAAGAGAAGTATCGTTGTCATTAACAACTTAGTAGTGTTGTTATTAACAGCTGTAGATATTAACCAACAGTGTGCTTACGAGGGGTGAATTTTGGCATGGGTGTTGCAATAAGATACGTGTCACGATATTTGGATCACAATACGATATTATCGCAATATCATTATATATTGCGATATTTTTCCAGCTATCAAAATTAAATGAAAAATAAATAGATAATATAACAGAGAGCAAGAGTTGTATATGTTTATCAGAAGATATTGATCACTTAGTTATTTTGGTATCCATGGTGTTTGGGGTTTGAGTCAGTCCACTTCTTCCACCGTGACTGCCTCAACTATAGATATAGTGTTGCGCCGTACAGCAAAGGGGCTCCAATGCTCTATCTGTCATAGTGGCGATGCCGCAGTAGTCCATTTTACCTCATCATTTTAGGTTAAAAAAATGTTTTTTTCAATATTAGGAACTGAAAGATTGATATTATATCGAGCATCTGAAAATCTCGATAATATCGCCAAATCGATTTTTTCCCACACCATTAGTGCTTACACTGGTAGTGAAAAATCTTTAGGAATGGGTCAGTAGCAACAAATCTCCGGAAACATTCTAGAGTCCTCACGGTCCAGGAATTTTTCTGGACACATAGTTTTACACTGGACCTCTTGATCTGTCCTCTACAGTACTGCTGTTTCCTTAGTGGTTTTCGCATCATATTCGTCAATAATTTTTAAGCTAACGCAATGAAATTTCTTATTAAGCTCATAAATTGTAGGGATCAAAATGTCCCTACAGCTATATATACCTTAAGCTAACACATCTCGTACACCAAACTGCTTTGTTTCCCACTCGGCCATTCACCGAGCTTTGGGCACGGTGAATGGCCTTTCTTTTCACAAATGGAAAGATACTTAAACAGAAAACAAAAATTTCTTCTTGAAAAAGGCTGGACTCAACTAGCTTTATCTCAGCTAGATTACCAGCAATGCAAAGCAACTGTTCCAGAAGAGAATATGGTGGTTTTACTCTACACACTTCAATTCCAATCCTGGAGGTCTGGTGTCCTTTGCATTTTATATTCAAACTATCAGGTTATTAGCACTTATTAACTCTGGAGAATTTGACTGCATACTAAGAAGGTAATTCAACCATTTGATTCACGTATAGCGACTTTTCACGACACCTTTGGTCGTCCTGATTGCACTGCTTTACCGTTAGATTGCGAAAACCTACAACCATAGGACCGGTATAATAAAAGTTTTATATCACATAAAGTGATTTTAAATTTTTTTTTACACCATGCTTATGCTAAATATGAACTTTTTTTCCCGTATTAGCTTTGTAAAGTAAAAAGTGCTCAGTCGTCAGGCCAGTGTGAAAATGTTAAGAACAAACGCTTTGACCTCCAAAAAGGCAGCCATTTTCTACGCTGTTCTTTTCAGGAGCATCATTCCAACTCCCTCGGGTGTCTTCTGCACTTCCTTACTGGTTCTTGTATAATTTTTTCTTGCTCCGTTTCACACAGCTAAATAGTCTAATTATGGCAAAGAAAACGATATTTCAGAAGGATGGGCTGCTAGGCTATCAGTATGAAGTTATTTACATTAACATTTTTATATTACTACAGTTAATTTATTGATGCATTAAGTGCATCAATCTGCATTTATCCGAAAGCCACTAATCTCTGTCTCCAATTTGTGTCAAAGGTGCGTGATATTCTCAAAGATCTTTCTTTTAAGTTAGTCGTTTACTCATTTTTACTCAGTCTTCGTTCGCCATTGAAACTGCGTCATTGTTAAAACTGATATTCATGCTGAGCTCATTTCTATCAGAGCTGTGTTTTTTATTCACCTTATTTATATATTTAATGGTGTCTGAACGAGTTTGACTATGCACATGTATATGTTTTTCCTTTCCCTGGAGCACTTTGATCAAAGCCATGGGTAGAAAGTGTGCGTTATACCCTGCCTCGCTGAAATATTCAGCTTGTTTATATGATAGTTTAACACTTTAGAAATCAAAAGCTGAAGCGTGAGTCTAAGGAAAGTAATGCCTTCAAGAGTTCAATGAGGAAAAAGAAACAGATTTGACGGTTTTGCCTTCCAGCGGAAAAAATAAATGCTTTTTTCAGTTTTTTTTAATAACATTTAAAATTCCTATGAACATATTATGACTAATTCATCAAATAGTGTCTTGTAACTGCCTTTGCAACTCTAATTCTGTGAAATAGAGACAAATTTTCATATCAAAGTTAAATATTTATAGCATATTTTAGCTTGTTTATGCTGAGCAATGGAAGAAAATCCTACTCTGGGATTATAATTTGGTAGAAAAGAGTAGACGAGCTGTAATAAAAACTATGCTAGGCATTGTTTGGCCTCAATTAAACTGCAGGTGAAGGCAGATTATATGAGTATATTAAGAATCACTGGATTACAAACTATATGTGACTGAGAGGGTAACTGAGTTGCTAAGACATGGAGAATCCAAGCCCGTCAGAGCTATTCTGCTTTAAAGGGGTCATAGAATGATTCTATAGGGTATTTGGTGCTGGTCCTTAAGGTCTCTGAACAGGTTGTGTAACATTGGTTGGGCTGAAAATGGCATATTTGCTGTTCTATGAGCCCTAATGCAAGCCTGGATAAAAGCCCTAGAATAAAACAACAGGTTTTCTTCCTTTTATGGTATGATCATGAATATTTAGATGAGCCGTGCCCTGATTGGTTGGTTTACAACGAGCGAAGGTGTTTAGCAAAGACGCATCATAGCAACAAGCACTCGCTCAATGAAACATCAGAATTGTTGATATGGTAGGGTGACCAGACGTCCTCTTTTTCCCGGACAAGTCCTACTTTTCATACCTAAAAATGCATGTTGTCGAAACACACCGGGCATTCCAACTGAGTCGTCAGCCCCGGGGCTGGTTGCTCCGTGGTCGGCGGCGTACCGCGTTACGGTATGCACCCCCTGTATACTGTAGCCGGGTCAGTTTTAGTCACTCCGTCCCCGGCTGTCTCTGTTCGAATTCCCGGACCGGTAGAAAGCCAAATCTGGCTAGCATTGCTTAGCAACAAAATATTACCTATAGCTTGCGGTTGTGATGGCGTTACGGTCGGAACAGTTCCTCGTTTCAGTAAAAGAAGTTTAGAAAATCCTGCTTTGAACTGTCAAAGATTTTGAAAGCTGTCTTCGGTAAAATGCTTAGAGCAAATGAACATCAAACTTTGCAGGGATCTTCTGATAGACAAAAATAATCCATGCCTGTTGAGTCTTTGGATCCTTGGGAAAACTGTGAAAATGTCTTCACAGTCTGTATGTAAATGTATGCCAATGTAGGCCAGAACCAAAAAAGACAACATCCCCGAATTGACGTCGACTGAGGGCTTTGTTTGAATTTGTCGGTTTTATGGTGGAATTTTAGAATTGTGAGTTTTGCAGAGAAAGGAGGTGTAGATGGGGGTTGAACTTCTCTGTACATCCGTTTCACCCGCTGAACTAAAGTTATTCATCTATGACAATGTAAACTCTGTTTTGCATTCTATGACCCCTTTAAATATACTGTTGTTTTTGTTAGGGTACTGGTTAAAAAAAAAAAAAGTGAAAAGAGCTGAGCCTTGATAACCTTTTTGTTTCTTTTTTTGTTTCTTTGTCCTGCACTTATGACTCATAGTACGAATATATATTTGGCTGTTTTACGTATTGCTATTTAGCTAAATCTAATGGCTACGAAAAAATTTAACATATTTAAAGCCAAACCCATACATACATACAGTATGTGTTTGTAGAAAATGCTTCCTAATGAAAATAATTAGGCTATTCATACGGTTTGTAGTGGCAAAATGTATCTTATATTTCATTAATATTGTTCAACTTTAACCATTAACCTGTTTTTTTTTTTTTTTTTTTTTTTAATACTAAATGGGAAGGCCCAGAAGGCAGCTTCATGTTTTGTTTTTTTGTTAGTTTTTTTTAAATATGGCAGTTTGAACAGCTCTTTTATAATTTTTTTTATTTTACAATATACGCATGTGAATCTGGCACAGAAGGATAAATCTTTGATTAATATTGCTGACATAGAGAAATATAATACTATTTTTTTCTATCGATAGATAAGGATCACATTTTTAAATATTTTACTTTGTTGTTTGATCTAAGCCATGGCAAGAAGTTTATGTTGCCAATTTTTAATGAAACTTGATGTAACTTTTATTAATTTCAAAAAACTTCAGCTAGCGTGGTTAGCTTAGCCTGTAGGTTAAAACCAGTTTCTACCATTAGCTACAAAAACCAATCACAGGCTGAACATGTGTCTTCAAACAGCCATTTTTGTTTTACATGAACAAGTAAAAACATGGAAATGTTTTATGGCTTCTGTTTCTTAATCAAACCTACTCATGTATGTGTAATTTAGCATGAATTTAGCAGATTGTTTTTTATAGGTACGCTGTATACAGAAGATAATTGTATCGTTTCAAAGGGACAAAGACTCACAGGAAACTTTTGCTTAATTAAATAAATTATTCACATATTTATTTAAAAAACAAACTACTGATGTATGTGCATACTTGGCAAAACACTGCACAATAAAAATCATTGTTTACACTTTTTAAAACTAAGCTAACGAAGGGATTAAAGGATTCCGGCGCCAGGCCGGATTTCCGGCTCGTAGCGATTGCCCATGGGTAAAGAAAAAATCACTCAAAATAAATTGACTGTAAATAAATTTTAAAAATGCAATCGAAATACCCTTGCGTTTTTCAGCCAATGGTGACAAAGAATCCCTCTGAAACTAACAGTATTAGCCAAACAGAGGAAGGAGGTGGGTTCTGTTCGTGCGGTCGCGCACGCTACACGTTTGCCAGGAGCTACGGCAACAAATGATTTACCAGCGTCAAAAACTGACCTGGTATGCAAGTTAAAAATAAGGGTTTGTGCTTTCCTCATGGAACACAACCTCTCATTTAAACTAGATGCACTTTTGCCATATTCTGGCTGTTCTTTGGTATTGTCATGATTTTACAAAGTTCAGACTCAAATGCAGAAAACAGAACAGAGAGACCAGGAAAAAGGTTTAACGGGTTTTATTGAAGAGGTAAAATAGAGGGAGAAGTGTTGCTCTGAACACTGCTCAACCGGAAGTTTCCGACAAAAAGTGTCCTTTTTAGAATCCAGTCTGTGTGGGATGTTCCAGTGATTGTCTTGTTTGATGTTGGGCGGACAGGGTTTACTCA